TTTTATTGTTTGGTGTTCCGTTCAGGCAAATCGTCGGCAGTCCTGGAGCCAGCGCAAATCAAAGGCCCAGCAAGACTTGTTTAGAATAGCTTATTGGGCCAAGATCTTAGCTTAAAAGCTAAGTGGGCCAAACGGGTAGCTTCCGATTAAGACATTAAGTCATGGGAGGTATTTGGTGCTGGCGCATGTTCTCTGCATTGATTGATATCTGCGCAGCCCGAGCCCTTTCGAGCCTGTAAACTCCGGACATGCATCTTATAGCTTGGTACAATAAGCAACACACAAGTAACTCTTAACGAACCCGTATCATGCATATCTTAACCATCGATCTGGACAACGAAACAAACCAACGGTAGTAAACAGCATGCTTCATGATTAGCGCTTAATTAGTTCGCTGCAGCACGAATATAATATACACGTGGACATGCATCTAGAGAAAAAAAACTAGTGAACTACTTAGTAAGAACTAAACAGCAACTCAGCAAGCTTGACGGTTAGCTTAACTCCGAGCTTAGGCACGACTACTGCAGAAGAGGTGGGCATCGGTATGTACTGCATGCGCTTGGTATGGCGGGTGTGGCGGCGGCGGCAGCAGAAACCCCAAACAATCAGGTGGGTGAGCAGCAACACTCGGAGGAACGTGCGCAGAAAAAATCGATGAGGAAGACGAGAGAGTCGTCCAACCTGGCCGCTGTCGTCGTCACCGCCGCTGCCGTCGTCGCCCACGACGTCGATGGAGGAAGCAGCGTCGCTGGCGTTGTTGCCGTCGACACACCCCACGTCGACGTTGGAAGCAGCGTCGTTGTCGGAGGGATCGTAGGTGCGGCGCGTCGCGTAGCGTGGGCTGCCGCCTTCCATGTAGATGTAGTACGCAGGGGCCGCGAGGTGGAGGTGGCCGGAGGTGGCGGTGCTCCGTCGCGTCCACAGTTCTCTGGTGACTGAGGTGAAGTGGCCTCGCTCGCGCCCTCGGTCCCTCGACTGTGGTATGGTGACTGTAGGTGAGTAGCCTCGCACGCCGGCCAAACGCACGCTTGCGTGCCCCGGGGCAGATGTACCACAACCACATCCACGTTGTCGCTTGCCGTCGCTCAACGTGCACGGGGCACGATCCTGTAATATGTTTTTAGAGCATCTCCCGCAGTCCCCGATACTTCATCCCCAATATGTTATTGGTGGCCACTAATAATACTACTTTTTTAGATTATTGGGGGAGATGTTTCAACATATCACCAAAAATCTCCCCCAATACGTGAGACTCACCTGTCAGTAACAAAAAAAATTTCCTTTTCTTTTCTTTTCTGCACCGTTCATCTTCTCCCCGCATCGCATCGTGTCGCATCGGAGGCTCCGCTTGTCGCGGGCCTCGCGGCCTCGGCTTCGGCGTCCGCCACCGCAACCAGAACCACCTGCCGCGTTCGCGCAGCCAGCCATGGTGCCCCTCCGCCCGACCATGGCCTCACCGGATCTACGGGCGAAGGAGGCAGGCGAGGCCACGGGCCACGACGCGTTGTCGTCGGTGCCCGAGAGGGAGAGGTGGTGGGCCACCCACCGCGCGTAGCCGAGGGAGCGTGCACTCGGCGGCGTAGGGAGAAGGCCATGGCGGCGCACACTCCACCACCGTCGCCGCGGGTGGCGCGTCCTCCGTCGGCGCGTCCTCGGGTGGAAAAAGCGGCAGTTACTGTGGGCCCCAGACTATTGAGGGAGATGCAACTCCCCATTCATTTGAGGGGAGATGGGCAAGATATTGGTGGCCACAAAAAAAATGGAGGGTTATTGGGAGACCGCTGGAGAAGGAAAAGTGGGCTATCTCATCCAATATGACAGTTTTACGAGGATGAGGGGTGAGATTGGGGGACTGCTTGAGATGCTTGGGGACTGGGGTGAGGTTTGGATCTCTGACAATGGGTTGTCCTGGCAAAAACAAAAACAAAAAGCCGAAAGAGTCAGTCTCATGATCCGTAAGGAAAAATATGGTCCAAATGCGAATTACAAGTTTCTAGTATTTCTTTCTTATAAGCATATCCTACACCTTAAAGCTGAAGAGTGAAACGAACAGGCCCAAGTCGCCGTGTTGACATCAACATTCAGCCTTCTGTCCTGAATCTCAACAGCATTTATATTAGCCCAGCTCATCCACGAGACCACGAAAGAGTTCCTCCGAGTGATCTCTGTTTTAGTACCTCCGCCCTCTGATCCTTCTACACCACATGCATGTCACCGACTGACAATCAAGCAGCTGGTTTGTTTCTCTAGGACATCGATCAACTCCAGTTTGCAGTGCTCCGAGCAAGGTGAAGTCGCCGTTCGGATCAACAATGTTTTGGATCTCAACGGCATTCTCCCTCCATCCAAAAAAAAAGTGTCCCAGCATTAAAAAACGGATTAAGTCCACTTTTGATCCCTTAACTATTGTCTTAGTCTAATTTTAACCCTCAACTACAAAACCGTTAGTACTGGTACCCCAACTGTCAAAACCGTTCACTTTTAACACCTGGGCGGGACAAAGCTGTTTTGACTAACGTTGAGTGGTTTTGACCACGCCACGCTGGCGTTGACCGCCACGTAGGACGCTGGCCTGCATCTCAGCGACATGTGGGGCCTGCACGTCACCCACTCATTCCCTCCCTCTCCTTCCTCCAGCTCTAGCATCCTTAAAAAACTGTCCCACGGATAGTGTCGTTTTAGCTTTCGTCGGTGAACCCCATGACTACCGAGCCTACAACCTTTCTCTTCTCTCTCCCACCTCCCCCTCCCCCTCCGCTCGCCCGTTCTCTCACCATTCGAGGAAGAATGAAGCAGAGTGGGCTGCCGCCGGCAAGGCCCGTGCCCGTGGCCTTCCTCCTCCAGCCGGCAGCCCCCTCTTCTCTTCTCGTCGCGTGTTGGTTGAGGCAGGAGGTGGAGCAGCACCCCATATGAGGCCGCTGGCCGCCACGCGAGGTTGAGGACGGGCAAGGACCCTACGCGGGCACATCGTCGCCAAGATCCGCTCACCGGGGGAGCCATCCCCTAGATCCGCTGCTCCACCGTCGGCAGAGGGTAGACGGGCCCAGGATGGAGGCGTGCTGCTGCTCTACCGCCGGATCCTCCGCCCTTCGCTCCTACTGTGCCATGCCGACGACACATCGGCTGGTGGACGGAGGGAGGATAGGAGTACACTGGTCATGATAAAACCCTATCCATCTCTACTCCCTCGGAGCTGAAATACAAAAAATTGAAGTTTCAATTTTATCTTAATTTACAAGATATTTCTGGATTACTTAACCCCATCCATCCATTTGTGCATGCTTTTGAAACCCCACCCTTATTCTTACAGCCGGGTTCATCCTTATTCTATTCTTGAACCGGCAGTGATCCTTAGTCTATTACTGCCGGATTTGTCCTTGAACTGTATCATGTTGCCGGGTGGATCTGACAGTGATATGCAAGCCCCATCATTGTCGATTGCCCTCTGCCGGATCTATTTGCTAGTAAAACTAATATGAGAGAGCTTTTAGTATAAATCTATAGATACCCAATGGATGATATGAATTATGAAACTGGTCAGGCGTCCCATTCCACTTCCTTGCATTTTGTACGTTTACCATCTCTGGTCAAGGCGGCACCAATATGAAACCTTTGTGGTCGGCCGAAAGCAACCCGCAACTTGCATAAAATGAATGATCACGCACCAAACCCGACAAAGCACCAAACAAATTTAGTTCGTCCGATCCATTTGGCAGAACACGTTGATAGATAAACTAACAATAAAAGATAAAATTACCCCATCCATGAGCATTTAGCACAATACTCTCCCCCTTGAAGAAAACAACAACAAACCAAGACAAACTCACCTGCTAGTTGCATAATATATATACTCCATCCTATCCCAAAATTAAGTCCGTTAGGACATTGACACGATCTCCAATACTCCACCTTGACTATAATATTATTGTTAGGAAACGCGGGTATGCTACTCGCTAGCACACAATAAAATAACCGCGTAAACAGGATCAATTGCGAGTAGATGATCATAGATTATACCTTCGCTCGCCGCGCGTCGCAGCGGAAGTCTTGATGAAGCGCGAGTAGTCGATTTGATCGACGTCGAGGAGGTAGTCATACGATCTGACGAAGTGCGCAACCGAGCGACACCTCTACGGTAGTCCACACGTACGGAATGGAACGACGAACCGGAGCGTGCTAGCACTCCATGGCACGTACTCGAAGATCCCCGCGATCAACCTTTGATCCGGTTGCATGTGGGCAGGAGCCCCTACGCGGCAGGCAACAGCAGCCCTGCAGCAGCAGGCTAGTGCGGCAGAAGAAGTTTCGTGCGGCAACAAGCTAGTGTGCGGCGGCTGGACAAAGGAATCACCCCTCATTAGGGTTAAAATCTAATTAGTATTTATAGGCTGCTAATTGGGCCAGCGCTAATTGGACCAAGCCCCTCTTGGGCACCCAACAGTCTCCCACTTGCACAAGAGTTAATTATGCAAGTACCCATGTGTTCCAATCCCTTAAGTGTGTGACCCCGTAGGTTCATGCAATCTACGAACATGACTCAGAAACCATTTCCGATCAATAGTTAGCATTGGCCTCTAGCAAGGCGTACTGACTCCCGAAGGTTCACGAATAAAGATGTCAACGGGGCCCGTTCCCCGATTCCCCGCGGGGAATTCACCCATTAGGGGACGGAGATGGTACAAATCTTCTCCTCATGGGAAATTAAATGGAGAAAAAAATCATCCCCATCAGGTATGATAGGGGCGGGGATGGTATACATGCCCCCGTCCCCGTTCCCCTTGGGGACCCAAAATGTTTAAGGCCCATCTGAGAAGGCCCAATTCATGTGTACATATATATAAGGCAATTTGTAACCCTAACCTTATCCTTTCCATTCGTTCCCAAATTCCCAATCCCATCCCCTGTCCCCCCAGCTGCCGCTGCCACCTCCCACTCCTGCACTCGCCCATGCTTTCCTTCGCCCTCCCTAGCCCGTGCCTGCGCACGCCGCGGCGGCGATGGATATGGAGATGGAGGACGCGGCGGTGCTGGACGCGCGGTTCTGCGCGGCGGACACGGCGACGCTGGCCATGGCCAAGGCGCTAAGCATGTCCAGTAGCGACTTCACCGTCATGGACGCGGCCACGGGCGCCCTCGTGCTGCGCGTCGACAGCGTGCTCTTCAGCCTGCGCCGGCGCTACGTCCTCGTAAACGCCGACCGCCGCCCCGTCCTCACCGTCCAAGAATCAGTTTCCTTCTTTCCTCATCTATCGCTCGATCTGTTTCCTCATGTCCTCATGTCCTGATGCGCGGGCGCGGCTGCTTGGAACGCAGGCGCTGATGCTGAACACGTGGTGGAAGGTGTTCCGGGCGACAGCACCCGCCGACGGGACCTCATGTTCACCGTGGTGAAGCCATCCGTGATCCAGCTGCGGGGGTCCACCAAGGTCAGCGTCTTCCTCGCCAGCAACGACGCCGAGCAGGCCTGCGACTTCAGGATCACCGGCAGCTACCACAACGGTGCCTGCGTCGTCTCCCTCGGCGACTCCGGCTACCACGACGGAGAGCCGGACCGACGGCTGCGGCGAAGGAAAGCATGGGGATCCCCGCGGGGATTAAATCCCCGAGCGAGGACGGGGATGGGGAAGAAGTGCTCCCCATGAGCCTTCACGGGGACGGGGACGGGGGAAATTTGCCCCCACGAGGACGGGGATGGGGCAGTAACCCCCGACGGGGAATTCCCCGTTGACATGACGATTCACGAAGATCATTTCTTGCATAACCTATAACACTCGCCAATATTATATCCTTCGGCCACACGACACCTAGCCAAGTGTAAGGCGAATGAAGTGCTACCCTTATTCTTATCCATTTCTCGCTCAGTGAAGAACTTTTTTGATCGAGTAACCTTTAGTTGAGGCATGGCCATGTGCTTTCAGTTCATCACATCGAGCGAGCCTAGAGGAGTCTCTCCCTGAAACAGGAGGGGCAGATTCCTTCTTGACTTGGTACACCCTGCGACTTGCTTCAACCACATCCGAAAGCTGCCTTTATAACTACCCAGTTACGGAATAGCGTTTAGCAACCCCAAAATGTGATGCTCCACAATCCGGGACTCTGTACCGATCTTAGGTCTAAGGACGTAATATGCGTGTCGTTACGAGATTCACCGATAGCAGTGTATTCGCGGTGTCTCGTTGTGGGTCTATCCGGCACCGTGTTCCTAACACGTGCCTACATTGTTGGTGCAATATCCCATATTGCCATGACCTATGAAACAAGATCATCCACCCAACACATGTACCAGCTTATCTCTACGTCACAGTCCTGCATGACGGATGGAAGCTGGGGACCATTTTTAGTACAATGTCAATGTTGTATCATGGAGTTTCACTAACGAATCACGTATTCGCTAATCACATATGATGACAAAGTCATGGAACATATCACTGAAAAATGCAGATTACAAACGTTGACACGATGTCATCATCTTATGACTACCTTTATGGAATACATCATCATAAGCCTCCCACTAGTGCTAGTCAGTTATGCCAGCATCTCATGCCCATTGACTTTGTATGCATCTCATGCTTTGCTTGTGGGAGTGGCTTAGTCAACGGATCTGCAATGTTCAGGTCGGTGTGCACCTTGCATATCTTCACATCTCCTCGATCGATGATTTCTCGAATCAGGTGATATCGCCGTAGTATGTGTTTGGACTTCTGGTGTGACCTAGGCTCCTTTGCCTATGCGATAGCACCACTATTGTCACAATAGAGGTCTATCGGACTGGAGCAACTAGGGACCACACCCAACTCAGAAATAAATTTTCTGATCCATACAGCTTCCTTTGCAGCTTCCGAAGCTACAATATACTCGGCTTCTGTTGTCGAATCTACAACTGTCTCTTGCTTGGAACTTTTCCAGCTCACTGCACCACCATTGAGGCAGAAGACATACCCCGATTGAGATTTGCTATCGTCCTGGTCAGTTTGGAAGCTAGCATCAGTGTAACCCTTTACAACGAGCTCCTCCAAACCTCCATAGACTAGGAACATATCCTTAGTTCTTTGGAAGTACTTTAGGATATTTTTTACTGCAACCCAGTGACCATCACCCGGGTTGGATTGGTATCTGCTTGTAACACTTAGAGCATACGAAATGTTTGGGCACGTGCACAACATGGCATACATGATCGAGCCAATAGCCGAAGCGTATGGCACCCGACTCATCCTTTCTTGCTCATCAGGCGACGACGCACACTGAGTCTTGCTCAAGGTTACACCATGTGACATAGGTATGAATCCTTTCTTGGAATCATTCATGTTGAACCTATTCAACAGCTTGTCGAGGTACATGCTTTGGCTTAATCCAATTAAGTGTTTAGACCTATCTCTATAGATCTTTATGCCCAGTATGTAGGCTGCTTCTCCAAGGTCCTTCATAGAGAAACTCTTTCTCAATGAGGCCTTAACATCCTCCATAAGCGGAATATCATTCCCAATCAATAGTATGTCATCCACATACAAGATTAGAAATACAAGTGCGCTCCCACTAGCCTTCTTGTAAACACATGCCTCTTCTTTATTCTGTGAGAAGCCAAACGATTTGACTACCTCATCAAAATGAAGATTCCAGCTCCGGGATGCTTGCTTTAGCCCGTATATAGACTTCCTAAGTCTACACACTTTTCTAGCATTTTGCTGGTCGACAAAACCTTCAGGCTGTGTCATGTACACATCCTCACTTAGGTTTCCATTAAGGAAAGTTGTTTTGATGTCCATTTGCCAAATCTCATAGTCATAATATGCGTCAATTGCTAGAAGGATCCGAATAGACTTCAGCATTACGATGGGTGAAAATGTCTCGTCATAGTCAACACCTTGAATTTGACGAAAACCTTTCGCTACCAGTCGTGCCTTATAGATGTGAACCTTTCCATCAGCATCTATCTTTTTCTTGAAAATCCATTTACACTCAATGGCTCTCACGCCATCGGTTGGATCAACCAGGTTCCAAACCTGATTATCTCTCATGGACTCCATCTCGGATCGCATGGCATCAAGCCATCTCTCAGACTCCGGTCCCATCAGTGCTTCTGGTTATGTTTTAGGCTCCTCATTGTCCAACAATATGATGTCCTTTTGCCCTATAATCAGTAGCGTGTACTTATCAGGTGCGCGACGTGCCCGTATTGATCTTCGTGGTTGAGGTTCATCATGTTGGTCAGCGACCATCGCTGATTCATCATGTTGCACCTCATCAATGGGAACAGAAACATTTTCTTGTGTTTCTTGAACTTCTTCAAGTTGCACTGTGCTCCCACTAATTTCTTTCGAGAGACTCTTTCTCAAGAAAGACAGTGTTTCGAGCAACAAAAACTTTGTTCTCTTGACGATTATAAAAATAGTATCCTTTGGTTTCCCTAGCATACCCCACAAAGACACATTTATCATATCTGGGCTCGAGTTTAGTGGGCGTCAAACGCTTCACATAGGCTTCGCAGCCCCAAATCTTCAAGAACGACAAACTAGGACGCTTCCCAGTCCATATCTCATATGGCGTCTTCTCCATAGATTTAGATGGTACACAGTTTAGTGTAAACGCAGTAGTCTCTAGTGCATAGCCCCAAAAATACAATGGAAGATCAGTCTGACTCATCATAGACCTCACCATGTCCAACAAGGTTCGGTTCCTCCGCTCGGACACACCGTTCCATTGCGGTGTTCCTGGCGGAGTCAATTGTGGAACAATTCCACAACTCTTTAGATGATCGCTAAACTCATGGCTCAAATTTTCTCCACCACGATCCGATCGTAGGAATTTAATTGCCTTGCCGGTATGATTTTGTACTTCATTTTGGAATTCTTTGAACCTTTCAAAGGATTCTGCCTTATTCCTCATCAAATAGATATAGCCATATCTACTCAAGTCATCAGTAAAGGTAATAAAGTACTGAAAACCACCTCTTGCGACCGAGTTCATTGGACCACATACATCAGTATGTATTAGGCCTAATAACTCGCTTGCTCTCTCGCTTTGTCCAACAAAGGGAGTCTTAGTCATTTTTCCAAGCAGGCATGACTCGCATGTCTCAATCGATTCAAAATCGAAAGAATTGAGAAGATCATCTTTATGGAGCCTCTCTATGCATTTCTCGCCTATATGGCCTAAACGACAATGCCACAAGTAAGTAGGATTTGAGTTATCTACGCAAGTTCTCTTAGTACTAATGCTATTAATTTCTACATCTTCCAGATCAAGAACGTAAAGCCCATTCACAATAGGACATCTCCCATAGCACATGCCATTCATAAAAATGGAACAACACTTGTTCTTTATTATGAATTCATAACCATCATCCTCTAAACATGAGGAGGAAATAATGTTCTTATTCAATGCAGGAACAAAATAACAATTATTGAGTTCTAGCACTAATCCAGAAGGCAACGACAATGGATAAGTGTCGACGGCCAACGCAGCAACCTTTGCTCCATTCCCGACGCGCAAATCCACTTCGTCTCTCGCAAAGCGTCTAATTATTTTCAGCCCCTGCAACGACTTGCAAGTGTGAATCATTGCACCAGTATCAAATACCCATGCATTATTAGAACGCGTAGCAAGATTAATTTCAATAACATTAATACCTTGAGCGGAGGTCGCACCTCCTTTCTTCTTTTTATCTTCCAAGTACTTCTTGCAATTCCTCGACCAATGCCCCTTTACACCACAGTGAAAGCAAGCATCGTCAGGGGAGGCACCAGCTTTCTTTTCTTTGGCCTCCACTTTCGGCAGGTTTCTTAGCCTTCGCTGGGCGCTTACGCTTCTTACCCTTCTGGACTGTCATCACATGACCAGGAGTCTTCCTAAGACTCGTCTCTGCCGTCTTAAGCATCCCATGCAACTCAGTCAACGATTTCTTCAAACCATTCATGTGATAGTTTAGGATGAATGGTTCAAAGCTAGCAGGCAGGGACTGCAGTATCACATCAGTGGCGAGATCATCATCGAGGGGAAAACCCAGTCTTTGCAAGCTCTCAATGTACCCAATCATCTTAATCACATGAGGGCTGACTGGAGCACCTTCAACAAGCTTGCAACCAAACATGGCTTTTGAGGTATTAAACCTGTCGACCCTCGCCTGGTTTTTGAACATGCCACGTAACCCCACGATCATATCGTACGGGTTAGTGCTCTCAAATTGCTTTTGCAACTCAGAGTTCATGCAAGCAAGCATCAGGCACTGCACATCCACCGCATCATCAATATGCTTCACATAAGCACGATATGCACTAGTGGTGTGCGT